GTCTGAACAGAGGTAATGAAGTACGTGACTTTTTTGACGCTGTTGAAAGCTTGTGTACTGCACCGATCCCGCATTCATTGTTCAACCTCCCTATTTACTTTTGCTACGTCGGACAAACTAAAATTTGTTTTTGATATACAGCATGGAACAGACTGATAATTACTGATAATCGTTAATGTCTGTCTTAGAATCAATGCATTCTAAAGGTACTTTAATTAAGAAAAAATCGATAACTAATAAATAATCTTATGAATTCGAGTTTGTTGATCGGACATGCTGTAGTCCATTGGGAAAACTACCCATTGTTTGGGTGGGCACTCAAGCATAGCCAGATTCGGTGCATTCTGATTTCTTTTCATTGAAACATGTTCAAATTTGCTATAGACTTACTAAAATAGAGCATGTGCATGTTACTTCATAACCGCAATCTTGGTTGACGATAACAAAGCATAAAATTAACTTCTCTTGTTAGATCAACTGACATGGCGGCCGTTTCATCATTCATATCTCAAAAGATTTTGAGCACACAAATGACATGCTCTCTTGCTCGTTTTTGAAATGGCCAATACAAGCTATACTTTTTTTTTTCGTACACTGCATAACTGAATATAATATCCACTATCGTCAAAGAGCGATTTGATTTTAGTTCACCGAAATTTTTTTGTCCGAAATATTCGCTCCACACAGCTCGTTAGATTATTAGCAGACCTCGTCAACCTCGTTCCCAGGGCCCTCTCAAGCAGAGGAGAGAAGACCCTGGCGTTGGCTGGTCACGTGACAAATCCGACACCCAGCATATTCGGGCGTTTTGAAAATACCGCTGAAGAAATAACTGGACGGAATGCGGGCACGTTGAATAAGCATAAATTGAATATGGCTGTCAAATCGAATAAACCGGTGGAGTTTTTAACAGTGCTTCGTCGTGTGAAATTTGCTATAAAAAAAGACAATTTTCCTTCTTTGAATATAGTCAAAGGCCAGGATGTCATTGGTGTCCTACCAACCGGTTTTGGAAAGTTCATGCTTTTTCACTTACTACCACTTCTATCATTCCTTTCAGAAAAAGTAAAAACATTGTAATTGTGATATTTCCTTTAAACTCAATCATTGAGGACCAGCTTAGAGTTTTGAGAAACAGGAATATATCCTCTGATGTGCTACAACTTGCTGAAAACTGCGAACCTATCGAAAACGTTTTTGGTGAAGGTCAAGAATCATTTTACGATAACACAATATATATATATTTATATGTGATATTTTTATTAAGCCTTGATAGAACGTGTATTTCACCATAGTTTATATTTTACACATTCATACGGTACATTATGCGGCTTAGAATAAACTTGTTTGAATCTGTCCTATTTCTCGCTCAGGCGTGACATGGCGCACCAAAAAATTTTAACGAAGCAACAACCTATCAAAATTCAGGATCAAGTAAACCAATCAAACCTTTATTTGACCAGCCAACGCCAGGGTCTTCTCTCCTCTGTGTGGGAGGGCCCTGGGAACGAGGTCGAGACCTCGTTGGCATGCCGAAATCTACGATCGTATTCTTCATTAGCAAATGACGTCATAGCCACCATCTTGGTTGAATTTAACAAAAGAATCGTCAATGAAATATTTTGTTATATTAACCAACATAGGGCCACTAGGTGCTACCCTCTATAGATAAAGGCTATTCATTATTATTATCATTATTATTATTATTATCATTATTATTATTATTAT